CTCATTCCATGTTGTCAATCAAACCTCCGTGGTCGATCCAGGTCCTGTCTTCAGCCACGTCAGCAAAGTAAAGTGTACCCTGATATGCTTTGAAAACACCTCCTGCACATCTGTGTTCTACTGGAAGAGGGAGGGAAAGTGTAGAACTACTACCGCACCACAAGCACCTGCTCAACAAGGTGGGCATGGCAACGCCACCATACAAGATCCAAAGGTAAACAGACATGATTCAAAGAGCAACGCAACCATGCAAGATCCAAAGGCCAGCAAACAAGATCCAAAGAGCAAGGCCATCAGACAAGATCCAAAGGGCAAGGTCTACAATGGTGTTCTAAGAAAAGTGAGTATCACGTTAAAAAATATAATTGTACTATTATTTTACTCAGTAGACAGAGAAACTGAGAAGTATCTCCCCTATCTCAAACATGCTAATGTGTGGTAGAAACATCATGGTCATAAATGTCGGCAGAATCCTAATTCTTAATTTGGTCTGATAAAGATTGGTCATAATTTCGTCACACCAGTCATCGTGTCTCTTACAGACAGTACCAGTGATCGTAGATAGGTGTTAGTATTTGTGTTGCAAAGTTGCTTCCCGTTGTCGTGACATTTTGTTTTAGACTTTGTCTGCACTATTCCCATAATCGCACCATCCCCAAATCATTAAACTCCAAAACTGTCACCAGTATTGATAATTTGGAACTCTTAAAACATTTTTTTCTGTTGAGTATTTGAATCATATTTAAGCTCACGTGTCATCATTGCGAAAACAAGACGCTTAAACTGGGCCAAGAAGATTCTGAGAAAATGCTTACAAAACCCGCCAAGGAAAACAGCCAGGCAATAAGAAGATATAAGGTGAGCTAAGATTATTGTTTGGATGTACTCTGAGTGAGGGTTGTATGTCATAGCAAAAGCGTTGTTTTCGTTGTATGAGGATTCAAATATGGGAAATATTCAAGTGCCTTGTGCTTTTTGTGAAAGGGGAATAGTGGAATGGCGGTCAGGCTCGATAACATGGGTGATTGCATGACATTGTATCCCAGTCTCGTGGACTGATGATCAGGTACAGGACTGTATTGTCCCGGTGCAAGCATGGACAAACAATGACGTCACACAGTTTGATGCTAGTAGGGTTGGACGTTAAACTACCTGACAAATATACAGACAAAAAATAAACAACCAACTAACAATATATGACGTCATATTCGATTCGCGGTGTATCCTGAAAGCGAAGGTTGTGTCTCACAGGCTGAATGTAACCCGTATGTGCCCTATAGACAGAATGTAACCCGTGAGAATTGTAACGCGTAACATTGCCGAAACGAACACGGATTAGTGTAACGAATTTCAGGAAGTTGTAACAAAACATTTCATGACAATAACTGAAAAACCTTCAAGTATGTTTGGAATTTATCTAAGATATTGATATGGTATGTGACAACTTCTGCAAGTGTATTAACATTTCGTTAGCGTATCTCTGATCTCTTAGATTGTTCACTACTGTTATAATAATATTTTGTTTGTTTCTTTGAATGTTGTTTAACGCTGCACTTAGCAATATTCCAGCTATATGGCGTCGGTCTAGAAATAATCGAGTCTGGACCAGACAATCTAGTGATGAGCATCGATCTACGCAACTGGGGTACGATGACATGTGTCAACCAAGTCATCGAGTCTGACCACCCGATCCCGTTGGTCGCCTCTTACGACAAGCAGGATTCACAGGATAACACTGATTACACCTAGTTCCACCATAGGTTTTGTTTGTAATTTAATTATAACACATTCCAGCTTTATGACGGTGATATGGAAAGAATCGGACATTACAGTGATTGATATATAATATATGGAATCTACTGGAGGTAAAATGATTAAAGTGAGGTCCGCGTGGTCCAACAAACAACTGCAACCATCTTGTTGCTATCCTGTTGCAGTCAGAGCAATACTATTACTTCAAGGAGATCGGTTTATCGTTGATACATCACCTAGACAACAAATCATGGCACGAGGCGAGCAGTGTATGTGACGAGGAGGGTAGTTTCATGTTCCCCATTGACAACCAGAAGAAACAGGATGCTGCAGAACGACTGGTGGAGTTTTCAGGTAATATTTACACTTAAGTATAACATGAGTGACTCTCGGTTGGTGTCGGTGTACAGAGGGGAGGTATGATCGGGGGCAGAACACTATTGTTGAAATACTTCTTGCTCAATATGTCTTTCATGAGTCTCGTCCGGCAAAGTAAACTAAGTAGATTAACTTAGATTTTCCAGGGTGCACGCACGCACGCACGCAGATACACACACACACACACTCTCACACACACACACTCTCTTTCACTCTCTCTCTCTCCCACCTAATCAATCTTGACCATCTATTCACACTTGACCACCTAATCGATCTCTTGACCATCTAATCACTCTTGACCATCTAATCACCCATCACCTACTAATCATTCTTGACCACCTAATCACCCTTGATCACCTAATCACACTTGACCACCTAATCACTCTTGACCACCTAATCACTCTGGACACCTAATCACCCTTCACCATCTAATCACTCTTGACCACCTAATCACTCTTGACCACCTAATCACTCTTTGCCATCTAATCACTCTTGACACCTCATCACTCTTGACACCAAATCATTCTTGACAATCTAATCACTCTTGACAACCTAATCACTCTTGACCACCTAATCACTCTTGACTATCTAATCACTCTTGACTATCTAATCACTCTGAACATCTAATCACTCTTGACCATCTAATCACAGGATAGTTTAAATCGACCTTTTGTCAGAAGGGCTCGACATTTTCTTATTTCTTTCTTTCCCAGGGAGGGAGCTGATTTTCATTGGCGTATATAGTAGTTTTCTCTTCTGGACATATTCTGGCACTGATGGAGACTATGTCAACTACACTAACTGGGCACCAAGGCAGCCTCATTTACCATTCTTTGCCGCTCTGAGTAGATCCTCCGGCTACAAGTGGGTGACAACAGGTCAGCACGACACAGCCAGCTGGATTTGCGCAAAACCTGATAAATAAAAAGCAAGAAGTGTCTGTACCAAGCCGAACGGACGATACGATGTACCGGTATTTGAAAAGACATTTGAACAAATATGATTATTTGCCAGTTCCAAATGGAAATCAAGGTGTTTTGTGTTTCCGAATGATAAGTGAGTTAAAATAGATGCAAGCAAAACATTTGTTTACTTTTACCTTTAGACATGTGAAAAACATATTGGTCTAATACTCTGGAACTGCATTTCTTTAAATGTTAAAATAAAAAGTGGACTGGCCTCCGTGTTGAGAGTACATAACAACGGTTTTGAAAATTCACTGGTTAACGCTGTGTGAAAAGGGTTGTTCCTTGTTTCAATGTCGCACTCAGCAATATTCCACCTACATAACGGCTGATGACAATACTCGTACGAGGGCGCTTGCGTTATAACGGTTCAGGGCAAAACTGTACTTTATTACCCAAAACACAGGGGATAGAGTTAACTAGTCTTTCTTAAAGATGCCATAAACAAATTACGTGCTGCTCGGATGTGTCTGCCCACTTTGTTAAGATGCCCGTTACTAAATACTTGTTAAGATGCCCGTTACCAATGTTTATTAAGATAACAATACTTGCAAAGAAGCCCGTTACCAGTACTTGTTAATGTTACCGTTACCAATACTTGTTAAAATTACCGTTACCTATACTTGGTAAATGCCTGATACCAATACTTGTTAAGATGCCCGTTACTAATACTTTTTAAGATTCCCGTTACCAATGCTTGTTAAGATGCCCGTTACTAATTACCAATACTTGTTAAGATGATGTTACCATTACTTGTTAAGATGCCCGTTACCAATGTTTGTTAAGATGCCTGTGACCAATACTTGTTAAGATGCCATTGACCAATACTTGTTAAGATGCCCGTTACCAATACTTGTTAAGATGCCTGTTACCAATTACCGATACTTGTTAAGATGTCCGTTACCATTACTTGTTAAGATGCCCGTTACCAATAGTTGTTAAGATGCCTGTGACCAATACTTGTTAAGATGCCTATGATCAATACTTGTTAAGATGCCTGTGACCAATACTTGTTAAGATGCCTGTGACCAATGCTTGTTAAGATGCCTGTTACCAATACTTGTTAAGATGCCTGTGACCAACACTTGTTAAGATGCTTGTGACCTATACTTGTTAAGATGACTGTTACCAATTACCGATACTTGTTAAGATGTCCGTTACCAATACTTGCTAAGATGCCCGTTACGAATGCTTGTAAATGGAGGATCCTCACCTTTCTAGAAGTAGTCATGAGTATATCTTGAATGGCCAGTAGGATACCGTCGGATAATAACCTCCTCAAAACTGGAATGACAACCAAAGTAGGTGTTAACCTATAGCTGGTTTTACTGCATGTGATTATTGATACCTACTTGAGTGCCCCATCTCCTATACATTAGATCCTTGATGTTACTTCTATTTTTAGGGAGCGAGGGTGTCACGGAATTGGACAGAAGAAAGGTACATATGAAATTTAATAATTTCAATTAGAAGTGGATGTGTACAAAATATGTTATTAAGAGCCCATGGGCACAACAGAGAGTTAGAGGGTATTATTAACTATTTATGTTTATGCTGGTTATTGATATGTTTTATAACTGATAAAAGGACATTTGCTTCAGTCGTCAAATGGAACAGATACAAGGGTGACAGGGCCGTGAAGCCAAAGACAATAGCGCGGGCAACAGCTTCACCATCCTTTATCCTTCTGCAAATATACATTTGTATGTGTCACATGTGCTCCTTGACTGATGATAGTCTCCTTGATAGGGTAGTGATTTGTCAGGTTTCATTAGCTTACAAACGGTACGGCCCATCTTATTTTTATTTTTTTGAGGCTTTATCAGCTGTTGAGTACATGAATTTTAAAACTGCACAACAGTATGAGATATCTTGGTACACAAGCTGTGGTGGATTTGGGATTTGAGATACCCATGATCACCTCAATGAACACACACTCTGCAAAGATGGCATTGGTAATGGTCCTACAAGGATAGTCAAATGTCCTGAAAAAAATGGTTATATTTACAAGCTATCATATTTGCAAAGTATCACCATTACTGAAGAGGCCTTGTTTAGGCAATCTTCCTGTATCCTATTGAATGTGATAGGAGCCTCTGCCCTTTGTACACAATGTGGTATATAGTCTTATAGCAAGATCATCCTACAACACAAACATCTACCAAGCAACACATCATTACTAACACATGGTACGCTCATCTGGCATTCAATGGACATGATTTAACTACCTATGTGAAATAACATGGTGCTTAAAGTATAAAATTCAGTACATGGCAACCTTTATTCACTTCATCAGTTACATACACTTTACTCGAGATCAGAATTGTGTGACCTAAGAACTTTATAACAATCGCATTAAAACCCACAGAAACTGAGATTCCTTACAGCTGTATTAAACACGACTTTTTAAACCAAACTAATGTTCACATAAATGGTTCCATCTGCAAATACAACAATATGGATTAGCAATAAAATGGACAGTCTTAATTTGTGTCTTCATTCCTAACAGTTGACAAAGATATTGACCATGTACTAAGCCTGCTATGTTTAGCTAGGTGGTGAGGACATAATAGATACTCACAATTGTCAACATACGTAAGACTCGTGAAGTTCCGAGTTAGAATTAGGTCTTCAGGAACCCATGCTTGTCGTAAGAGGCAACTAACGGGATCGAGTGGTCAGACTCGATGACTTGGGCGACGCTTGTCATCCTTTTCCAATTATGAAGATCGATGCTGATCACTGGATTGTCTGGTCCAGACTCGACTATTTATAGACCGCCAACATATAGCGATTATGTTGTGTAGAGCGCTTTACACAACAAATAAACAAAATATACTACTTTTAAGCTATACAGAAAAAGACAACAAACATGCGCATTAACTCAGGCCTGTGGTTGGCAAGGGGGTGCTTGGTCTTCGTGGGCAGCAGCAGCAGCAGCCGAATGTGACCTCAGCTCTCGGCGTAGTCACGATAACAAACAATGTATTGCTGTAGGGAACTTACTATAACTGGAGTATTATAGCAGTGTTAAATTAATTACTCATTATTCGAACTACTACTTACAATGATTCAAATTGCATACAAATTTCGGAGTTACATAATTATCAGGGGCGTAGCTACCATTATAAAAAGCTCGGGCTTACACTTGATTTTGTCATTGAAAGTTGCTCCCCTTAATACTATCTAAAAATATAAAGCTTTGCACCCTATCGGGCTTAACTAAACACTTGGCTTGCTACGCGCCTGATTATAATAACTTCGCATTCACTCAATACATCATTATTAAAATGATTTAAATGCAAAAACAAATGAACCTACTAGGCTATCTACCTACTATAGGTGCCCCAGCAACATCAATGTCGACTATACCAAGTACTTCTCCTTGAAGGGGTTGTGGGGTAGCCTGGTGGTTAAAGCGAGTGCTTGTCAAGCTGAAGACCCGGGTTCGATCCCCACATGGGTACAATGTGTGAAGCGCATTTCTGGTGTCCCTCGCCGTGATATTGCTGGAATAATGTTAAAAGCAGCGTTAAACCATATTCACTCACTCACTCAATAAACATTCACACAGATAGAAGAAATAGATGGATATATACTAGGCAGCAAAAGAAACGTCAGTTTGGAATTTTCCTTCGCAGAAACGGATAACTGTAAACTCATTTAATGTTTTGATTGTATATTTTAGACATCTCCAACTTGACTTGAGCAAAGACATTCCTTTCCAAACTCAGAATAGAACCCAGGAAATGGTCTCAAAAACGCAACCTGATCTCGGAGATGGTACGGTGTTCTCCATGTTTTTCATGCAACTCATGCTGCACGTGCTGTTTACAAGGACCAGCCCTATAAAATGCACCCCAAACCTGATGGAAACATTCACATTACAACGTCAGCAGGATGCCGCGACTCACGACAGCTCAGAGGAACCAGGCGCTAGGAAGACTTGAAGCTGGCCACACAAGCCGTTGCCAATCACTTCCAGGGCCACGTTAGGACCATCTACAGGCTGCAGCACATTTCCGGGACACCAACTCCACAAATGATCGCCCTGTACTGGCATACCAAGGGTGACCAATAGACGACAAGACCGCCATGTTGTGCGACAGCATGTACAGAATCCCTTCACTCAGGCATCCGAAACAACACGCCAGACAGTGGGAACACACGGAAGGCCAATCAGTATTGATACAGTACGCCGACGTCATAACAGCGGGAACCTCAATTGCCGTAGACCTTACCGTGGACCTATCCTCACCCCTCGACATCGGGGTGAACGTCTACAGTTTGTCCTACAACACCAAATCAGGCGACGAATATGGCGACGACGTGGCCAGCGTTACTCAGACCAATGTGTTATGGAAAGAGACTCATGGGGAGGTGCAAGCATCATGGTATTGGGTGGAATAGGCCTGAACCAGAGAATGGGTCCTGTGGTGTTCCAGAACCTTGGTCCAGGAAGAGGAGGCGGCATCACAGCGGTGTGTTACATCGACCAAGCTCTCAGACCCCACGTCATACCTCATTTCGCACGTCACCGGAACAACATTTTCCAGCATGATAACGCCCGGGCCCATACTGCCAGAGCTACACGGGACTTCCTACAGCAGAACAGTGTCAACATTATGCAGAGACCAGCCCTTAGTCCTGATTTAAACCCAATTTAGCATCTTTGGGATGAAATTCAGAGGAGACTAAATAATGTCATTCCAAGGCCGAACACAGCCGATTTATTGCGCCAGGCCTTTCTCAGAATGTGGTTCCAGGTGCCAATGGCCTTCATCAATCGATTGGTGCACTCCATGCATAGACGCTGTGCTGCAGTTATTGCCGCTCGTGGTGGTCACACTAGATACTGAAGTCAAAGAGCCTGGAATGGACTGCAAACGTTCACGTGATGTCTTGGAATTGTACTGAGTTATTTATTGATGTGTCAGAATATTGTACACAAAAAATGTTTTGGATACGCTTATTATGTCCATTTCTGTAATGATTAGATCACAGTGCCTATCTAATTTTGAATTCGTACTGACGTTTTTTCTGCTGCTAAATATTAAAGGTGCTTAAATATAATTAACCATCACTTAGAATAAACATTATATCGTTATATAATTATAAAATGCATAGCATTAGCTAACAACTCTATACACTACAACTGTAACAATCAATGTCCAAAGATCTGTTTCTCAAAATATTAACTGTCTTCTCAAAAACAAGCGCAAGATTGTTGAAACAGTACAGTGTAAGTAAATCAATGAAGACAATGCTGAAGTCCACCAGATATATATTTAGAAACGATTGATACCTTAAGATAAACCTAGAGTTATAAAAGAACCAGAATTAGATGATAATATTATCAAAGGCAAACGTTATGACACAAACAACAAACATGATCAGTGTTAACCTTGTACTTTTTATGAGGCTGTGTTATACTAGGTGCTGCAGTGTATAAACTGTTATACATTGTACCTGCAGATTCAGTAAGGGGCAATGGTGTGCTATGTGTAGACTTTGCCACACTTAGACAGAATATTATAGAATGATCTGGGACAGGATAGAAGTTCCAGTGTCATCTACCTTAGAGAGGTATATAAGGAGAAGTAACTCTTGCCTCTCATTCACATTACATCTCAAACCACAAGGAGGATAGTCGCTACACTACTTTGGAATTTTATGAATTGCTTTACTCGTCTCGTTTGTATCGGAGGACAATCATCTAATTCTTTACCAAGTTAAGATAATGTTGTTGTTAATGGAAAAACTGCAAATCAATTCTTAAGAATGTGTAACTCCGAGTAGTGGGGAGACCGAGTTAATATTTAATGGCACATAGGATATATTTCAAACATATAGTAACACAACCGGGCTTAGATGGATACACTTTCTCAGTAAAGTACAGATTCTAATACTTTTTGTTGGGTTGAGTCCCATAAGGGATTCGAACCTATATCCTCAGAGTCAGGTACCTTATCGTCAAAACATGAAAGTAGAGGTGGTTGGGTGGGTGAGATGGCTGACGTTGTGTGCTGAGAAAGTGTAATCCCAAATCTAACATATGCTACATTTGACCACTTTCTAAATGGTATTGTGTATTCACAGGTTTACACATACACATAAGTCCATGTAAATTCAAAGTATATTTGAAAGGCATTTCCTTTTACACATTTCAAAATTGCGTAAAATTTAAACCACATTGACGTGTACAATTAAAAACAAGCAATTAATTACACACATCCATATCTACAATTCTTGACACACCTATTTCTTTCCAAGTTTGAATACTCAATGCCATTTAGAAAGAAATGCCATCATTTCAAGTGGCTGATAATAGGATGCCCGCTCATACGGTTAATAATGTGTGTTCCATGCAACTTAAAAGGTCCAAACAGTCAAGAAAAATCTGCTTGAACTGGAACCTTTCATCACAAAGGATCGATACATTTAGGAACGTCGTCCTTCATCTGCTATATGGGATTAATACGATTTCCCAATGTCGCCACTGGCAACCCAGGTAGGTATCACCGTTTGTTGGTATACATTCATGAAGTGTATTGATTCTTTCTTGGGTGTCCTACCTATTTTGCAAACTATTCCCAGGATAGATTTTAAAAGCTGGTTTGGAATCACTATCGCGGGATAAGCAGCGAAGATGTCAGTTAGTCAAGAGCTGGTTAACAACAGCGTGGGCTTTGTGTCACCTGCTATGTTAGTGAGAGTGAGTGTAGTTTTACGCCGCTTTTAGCAATATTCCAGCATTATTTGTCCAGTGGCAACGATTACGGGTACTTCGACTAATCATTTCAATACTAATAAATCCTGACTTGCGTATAAGAAGAAGAAAACAATGAGTGTTGGAATATGTAGTTTTACGCCGCTTTTAGCAATATTCCAGCATTATTTGTCCAGTGGCAACGATTACGGGTACTTCGACTAATCATTTCAATACTAATAAATCCTGACCTGCGTATAAGAAGAGAAAACAACGAGTGTTGGAATATGTAGTTTTACGCCGCTTTTTAGCAATATTCCAGCATTATTTGGGGACACCAGATATGGACTCCACACACTGTTCCCATGTGAAGAATCTAACCCGGACTTCGCGTAATGAGCGAACGCTTTAACCACTAGGCTACTCCACCGCCAATGCTATGATAGCATGACCTGGCAACCAGCACTTCGTATGTGCACTTTGTGATCGCTATTCACAAGGTGCACAAAAGATCTTGAAGAATCCTGCAGAATTTGTAACTTGGTGCTTGATCAGTTCCTTATACAGGACCGAGAACTACATAAGAAGGTTCTTTGAGAGGAATTTTAGAAGTTGTAAAGATGAAGGAAAACCAAGTTCTATGGAAAGTCAATGTACATCAACCATGTTTATTGTTTATACTCACTATGCAGCTATGTATATATTCTCCTTGTTACAACTCTGTGTATCACTTGCTTGATAACGGTGATAGTACCTACACCGAAACGTCACACTCACTGCAATAAACAGGTTGACTATCCTTAGAACTTGGTTTTCCTACATAAGAAGGTTTTATTTTGCAGTTAAGATTATTGTTAGTTGATTTGAAAAGATTGTCACAATGCGAGATAAAACAAAGGTGGTGTTGAAATAAATATAATTTATTTCAAAACAAAAATGAAATGGAAAATCAAGAGAAAAGTTCAAATATTCAGCTTGCACAACCCTTCCTCACCTCAAATACATTCATCCAAACATCTCAGTCATATATCACTCAAATACACCTTCAGTACATCACTCAAATACACACTCAGTACTCCATTACACCAGCGGTACCCAATACACTCATGCTCCTATACACAATACACAAATCAAATATAGGCATACAAATGAAACATTTACAAAATGTAATATTCCAGTCCATATCTAATTGACGATCGGCTCCTATACAGGAGGTTGCACAGATTAATGGTATGTACAGTTCACGTCCTCACGAACCCGGTCACACCCTGTCTGACGATACCCTGGGGCTACCCTGCCCTCCATACTTGTCACTGGACAACGTCCGGTCACAACACTGGTGAGAGGCACTGGTGAGAGGCATCGCTTAGCTGGTCAGCATACTTGGAGTTGACCCGCCACACTCAACCGGCAATACCTTGAGGCTACCCTGCCCTCCATGCTTGGCACTGGACAACGTCCGGTCACAACACTGGTGAGGAGGCATCACTTCGCTGGTCAGCATACTGGCTGGTGTTGACCCGCGACACTCAACTAGCCAGCACACAGGCCGTCAAGCCAATACGGCCCCGACAGCCATGATAATTTTCCTGGCTCAGCTTTTCTCACCGTCGCTCCCGCTCTATCATATCACGACTGCACCCGTCACATCAAACCGTCCACTTTTATGACTAAGTCGCAGAAACTGCCTGCTTTTCACGTGCAATATCACTTCGCACACAGCCCAGCTGCACGTACACTCACTCAACCGACACATACAGTTCAACCACACTATAAAGAAACATCCAACGTATATACAGCTCAACCACATGTGATCTTGACACACCTCCCATCCTTGATAATTATTTGCAAAATAATTATATACACTAGGACAGATCACATTGGAGTTTTGAATACAGGAAAATAAACTCATGGTGGACACCGGCTCATGAGATCGGCCCCGACATTCTCCACACCCTTCACCGCTCTGATACAGAATCTGTACGGCTGCAAAGCTAAGGCCCACCTCATAACTCGCCCGTTTGCCAACTTAGCCTTGGTCATCCACACTAGAGGCTGGTGATCTGTCTCTTACAGAAATTCCCTCCCATACAAAACCGGCTCAATTTCTGTACACCCCACACAATAGCCAAACACTCTTTCTCAATGGTAGAATATGCCTCTCTCGGTCCAGCAACTTCCGACTGACATACATAATGGGAAACTTCTCACCCTCATGTTCTTGTAATAGCACTGCTCCAATGCCAACATCTGATGCATCTGTCCGCAACAGAAATGTCTTTTCCAAATCCGGCAACTTTAGAATTGGTGCACTTGCCATGAGCTTCTTCAACGTCTGGAATGCCTGTTCCTGACTATCAGTCAAACAACAACATTAGGCTTACCCTTCTTTGTCAAATCTGTCAGTGGAACTGCAATGGCTGCAAAGTTTGGAATAAACCGCCTGTAGTAACCAGTTAAAACCAATCAAAGATCTCACCTGTTTCTTTGTGGTTGGTCGTGACAATTCAAGATTGCTGCTAACTTCTTACTGTCAGGAGAAATATTACCTTGACCGACAATATGTCCCAGGAATGGTATAGTATGGTACCCAATCATCACTTTTGAGGGGTCTGGCAGTGATATTGTACTGACGTAAACGACTGAAAATAGCTCTCAGACTTACCATGTGATCTGCCCATCTATCAGTTCCTTCAATCACATCATCAATGTAACTGTCTACATGATCTACCCCTCTAAGGATTTTCCTCATTAACCTTGTGAAGACTGCTGAAGCATTAACCATACCAAACGGCATAACTGTCCACTGATATAGCCCATCTGGAGTGATAAACGCTGTATATGCCTTACTTTCCTCCTCCATCGGAATCTGCCAATAAGCTTTACTGATATCAAACTTAGACAGATACTGACACTTACTAAGCCTTGCAAAGAGACTTTCTGCCAAAGTGACTGGTTCTGAATCAAAAACCGTGATACGATTAATGGCTCTGTAATCTGAACAAAATCTGTAACTACCATCTGGTTTCTTCACTAGCACAATTGGAGAAGCATATAAGGTGAATCTGAAGGTTCAATAACACCTAAGTCCAACATAGTCTGTATCTCTGCTGTAACGGTCTCTCTCTATATGATGAGGTATTGGATAAGGACGTGACCTAACTGGATCTGAAGAAGTCAACCTGACCTTATATTCCATACAGTTGGTCCTCCCCGGCAAATCTGTCAAAACATCTGAAAATTCTGCCAACAACTCCTAACGTCTGTCTTCTGCACATCCGACAAATCTTGAGAAATGTTCACATCAAGATAAGTTTCCTTAGCCGTCAAAGGTGGAGAAACAATCTCGAGGCAAATCCCCTTCTACATCTGACTCCACATTGTCATCTCCCACATCAACAATGCCTGTACAAACATACTGTGGTAAACTCACACTCACATCACTGACCACTGTACTACAGCTACTAGATTCCCTGTCAATATACTTCTTGAGTAAGTTAGCATGATAAGTCTTCAACTTATCCCCAACTCTAACGCGATAATTGTCAGAACCAAAACTCTCCTCTATCACAAAGGACCTTTCCATTGTAACAATAACTTGTTGTGATTGGTAGGTAACAGAATTAACACCTTATCACCCGCTTTCATCTGGCGTACCTTCACCTTGCGATTGAAATGCTTCCTGTACCTGCCTGATGCCTTAACCAAAGATTGATGAGCTACCTCAATTGTCTCCTCTAACCTATTCTGTAAGTCCAACACATACTCATAGGTTGTCCTAGTCTCTGGATCTGGAATATCTTTTGTCCACAATTCCCTCAACACCTGAACAGGCCCTCTCACTTTCCTGCCATACAACAACTCGAATGGAGAAAATCCCTGGACTTTCCTGAGGTACTTCCCTGTAAGCAAAAGCAAAGCTGATAAATAACGATCCCAATCAGTTGGTTTCTCAGCACTTAGCTGCTTTAACATCAACTTCAGAGTGCCATTAAACCTCTCAACTAACCCATTACACATAGGATGGTATGGAGTGGTGGTTAACTGCTTGAGGGACAACAATCTACTAACCTCCTTCATGACTGATGACGTAAATTGAGCACCCATATCAGACAACATCTCCTTGGGGACACCTACCCGACTAAATATCTCCAAAGAGCCTCTGCAACATACTCAGTTTCTATCCTCGGAAGAGCTACAGCTTCAGGATACCTAGTCGCATAGTCAACAACTGTTAGGATG